GGGGGGGGGGGGGGGGGGGGGGGGGGGGGGGGGAAGAGAAAAAAAATCGTAGCTCCATACACAGGCATGTGATGGAGTGGCCATTAGTCCAATGGTTGAATAGACATGATGTAAACTCATGTCTTTAACGTCATGGATTCAAATCATGGTTCTCACCTACCAACAATATTAAACATACAAGTCTTTTGAAACCAAATATTGTAAAATCAAGAATGGTCTCACATAGAATAAATAGAATGCAGGTAAAGCTAAAACAAAAACTCGTGTGTGAATGTACATGTACAAAGAAGAAGATGAAGAAGAATGACATAGACATGCCACCACTACTTCGGTAAGAAGCTGCATTCATCTCTGCATGCAATTAAGAGCATAAACAATAATAATCAAAGCAAGAATGAAATGGGGCACTTAATTGAATATATATCAACTAAATGCTCCTTAGTTTCCAGCCATTCCCAGAAATAGGAGTTTTACATGTTGCTTCTGCATGGTCGTAATCCAAGACTAATCAACAGCCAGAAATAGATCAGATAATGAGACCTCGATGAGGCTATTTAGATTTCGTCATCAAGAAGGTACCGAGTTAGAGACTGAGAATTGTTACTGACCTAAAGATTAAGTTTCACTTCTCAAAATGAAGTTCTAGTGTTTTAAAAAGCACACAAAAACTTCATTAGGTCCTAAACTTTTAAGCAAGATATCAGCCGCAGCAGCTCAGAAAACTGGATAAGTGTCCAAGATCAACTAAGGAATTCAAACTACGACCAAGAAAAAGTGACAACAATGCAATCATCGCTGAGAAGAGGTAAGATAATGCAATTATCACCAAGAAAAATTGAAGATAATATCATAATCATCTAGAAAAAATGAAGAACAAACAAAACAATTTTTAGGAAGGAAAAACAGAAGGAGAATAAGAGAACAACAAACTGGATGAGTTCAGTTTGGGTTGGCACATCATCAAGAAGCCTCTTTAATGCAAGTGTTTCCCTTAATCTTGAAGCAAGTGCCTATAATAAAGATAAAATACAGAATACTTAAAGATAAAATACAGAGTACTTACAGTCAAGATAAATAGATCAATGAATTGACTAGATCTAATGCAAAAAGGATAAGGATTCAGTGATGGAATTTGGAGTGATAGACAAAATCAATCATGACATGAAATGGCTTCAAGCCTTGATTTTGAATTATTCATGCATAAAAAGGAGAACACAGTAAAAAACTGCTTTGGGGAGAAAAAATTTACCTTCTTTACAGAATTCAATTCCTCCTCAGATTCACTGATAAAATTATCTAAGCTATCCAAGAAATTTGAGCCTTCGTGGTCTCCAGTTAATCTTCCCTCCAGCTCGAAAATCTCAGCTTGCAATTTAATACGCTGTGCATCACATGGAGATAGGAGTTCAGATTCCTGCTTTCCAAGATCCTGAAACAAACCAAGGTGCATTTGAAACACAAAATTATAAGTTGCATATAAATATAACTAGAAACACAAAATGATAAGTTGTACATAAATATATTACAAGGATAAGTTGAATAAAAAATGGTTGATAGTTTTCAAACTCAAAGAATGCGGGTTAGTTGTGTATGCGTGTGTGTGTGTGTGTTTAAGTAATTATGCAATTTAACATTACAATGTAGAATAAAAATGAAAAGGAACTCTTCAAAATGACTACACTTTCAAGCCAAACCCCTTGTAGTATCAATTTCTGACATAAGTTGGAGCCCACGCCTCCATCACAATTTTTTTAAATTCTTATAGTAGATGAGCCACAGAGGTAAATTGTGATCATAGATGGCATATACAAATAAAAAGATATGGATGAGAAAAAAAACCTATACTGAATGCTGTTCCAATTCAAGTATGGAAGATGTTTGGAAACAAAAGCTTTAAAACACAAATCTGATAAAGCACAAGAAAAGAAATTGGTAAAATACATCTTGCATGTGAGAATGCATGGTATTAGAAACAATATGATAGCTGTCAACAGAGAGAGAGAGGAACAAAAAAAAAGTTCTATCCAGAAGGTTATTAAACAGAAAGAAAAAAAAAAAAAAAAA